CTATTATTTGAGTAGGGCTTTGGAACTCACCCAAAATACTTTCAAATGCACTCTTATTTAATATTCAAATACAAAAGTGTTACTGACCAAAGCAGAAATAAATATTTTTCTGTTAAATTGCCCTATTTTATGTATTTGAGATATACTTTGAATGTGAGTATTTATAATATACTGGTTTTAATTGTATGTTTTTTTTTCCTTTTTCTATGAGTAATAGAAATAAACTGATTAATATTTGGGAAATCCACCCTATCATTTAAGAGGCATATAAACATTTCTGAACCCAGGTATTAAAACTAATAATCCCTGTCATACTCATTGTAGATGATTATAGCATGAATAATATGGCCTCATGTATGTCAAAGTGTTCATTTATTAATTACGACTAAATATGTGTTAAGCATTTTATAAGGTGTAGGAAAAACTTAATACATTGGGAATAATCATAAGGAAAAATTAATTCAAATATTATATGTGGAAAGTTTCTTGAGGTCATAAATGGTTTTCAGTTATTGAGCTTTTACTATTGCTAGGCATAGTGCCACATGCCTTATATTCATTATTTCATTTAAGTCTTTTGACACTCTTGGGATGTTATTGTTACTGTCATTTGACAGATGAGGAGAGGGACTCAGAGAATTTTGTTTTCCTTGAAGTGCCCTTGAGCACCTATTATTTGGCCAATGGGCGTTTTGCCCTGCCCTAATGGAATTTATATATTTAGAAGGGAAGACAGACCTTAATCAAATAATCAGACAGATGTATAAATATAACATAACTAGAGGCCCGGTGCACGAAATTTGTGCACTTGGCTGGTGGGAGAGGGGGGTCCTTCAGCCCAGCCTGTGCCCTCTTGCAGTCCGGACCCGTTGGGGGATGTCCGCCTGCTGACTTAGGCACCTGCCCTGGGGAATGGAAGTACTATTTGAGTTGAAATCTGAGAGATGAGCAGGAGTTAACAGTACACAGTGGGGGTTTGATGGTGGGCATGTACAGGTCCATGACTGCCTAACTGGGAATCAGATAGTAACTCAAGGTTTCCAATCAGGGATGGAGAGCTCACACACACCTGCGTCTAATTCCTGTGACTTTACTACTGAGCAATGTTAGACAAGGTACTTAAGAGTCTCCCCCCCTCTCCCCCGACCCCCGTTTCCTTGTTTGTAAAATAAAGGGGATAATAGTACCAACCTAGTGGTATTTTCTGAGGATTAAGTAAGTTAATGTTTGTAAATTTTTTAGCACAGGATCTAGAAAATGCCAATTATCCAGTAAATCTAACTGTTATGAATAATACCAATCGTTTACTGTTAAAAATAAGTTTAAAAAGTCCTGCCTTTGATTTGATTTAATAAAAGACAGGAATAAACAGGGAGAGACAGTGCTTCTCAGACCTGTTTAAGGGCTTCCTCCTGTTCTTAGGTCTCTCCTCTAAACCCACCACCCACAAACTCTGACCATGAAGTCCTTGAGCACAAGGACTCTGCCATCTATTTCCTGCCACTTGACATAGTACTTGGCTTTAACGGGATGATTTTTGCATAGTGATGATATTTGAAGCCGTAGGAGGGGATGGAATTGCCAAATTAAAAAGCGAAGAGCCTGGTCATGGGAAACACCTGTATTTATTTACAGTGGAGAGAGACTGGGAAGTGGCTGCCAGAAAAACTAGGATAGTTGGTCTCTATGGAGGAAAGTTAGTGCTGCAAGCTGCTCTGAGGTCTGGGAGGACAAGGAGCCCAGAAAAGGGACCAGAGGTGAGGAGAACATTCCTCTTGGAGGCAGTGTTTTCAGTTGCAGAATTCCAGTTGCAAAATTAGCATGTAGGTGGTGGTGAGGAAGTGGAAGCAGTTGGGTGCTGGGTGCATGGATTTCCCTTTCAAGAACTCCATGGTAAAGGTAAGCAGTAGGAAATATTACTTGTAATACGTTGCAGGCTTAAGAAAGTTTATTATTGTTGTTATTGTTCACGGGGAGTTGGGAATGCTGGTCATGTGAGAATGGAGGAAAGAATTACAGGGCACTCTGATGAATCTGGGTCCTGGAGGCATGGGAACAGTCTGACTAAACTGTCTGTACTTTCTTTGGTGTCCCGTTTCTGACACTTTGTCAGCCTCTCCGAATTTTCTATAGTTCATAGTGCCCAGCAGTGAGTGGGCAGCACTCACAGGTTAGCTGAAGGAAGAAAGAAATGAATGTGCTCATAGAAAGCAAAGCTCACTTATTTCTGCTCTTCCCAACTGTCTCCTTCGAAAGCATGTACATTTTTTTGAGGCTTAACTGCCTTTGATAGTTTTATGATAATTTATTTTTTTTAAAGTGTGAGCGAGTTGGTGAGTGATCACATTGGTTCTATTTTATTGTGAGTAAATAGTATGTCAAAGTTTTATGTCGTTTCAAAAATGTTATTTAGAATAAAACTTCCTTTGAAGCCACAATATTCTCTTACTCAAAATATTTATTTAGACCATATTGTTTAAATATATATAATTCCCTTAAGGAACAATTGTAGTGTATATAAATCTGGACTTAAAACAAATAGACCTTCTGGAATTCATAGAAATACAAAAAGGATATTCCAGTACTTAAATGTTTATATACAAGAGGAGTTGAGGTGTTCCAATGTTTGTATGCTTAGGTACAAAAAAAGTAGAATTTATAAAGAAATGATGATCTGAGAAGTTTAATTCCCAAATGTGCCAGACATATAAAGTTATTTAGGAAGAGAAAATATTTGAATCATAAGTGAGTTTAGAGTAAGTGAATCAATGATATACATAATCATAAGTATACATAAAAATAAAACAATTCCACAATCTCTTGATTTATTCAGGTCCTAAATATTGTTATAATTAAAAAGTGTACTTTTAAACCCCAGGAAAAATTAGGCTATTTTAATAAAATAATTAAATGTTATCAAATTAATTATTTAAAATATGTATGTCTTTTGTGCCTGAGTTAGTTAACATATAGTCCTTGAGAGATCATCTCTTTCTGTTGGTCATCCTTTAATTTTGGTAACACAGGGTTTTTGGGGATTTTTCAGAATTTATGGAAGCTTTCATTATCACACTTCAGATTATGTAAATATTTTAATGCTAAATTCTTGCCATATCTGAATTTATAATCGGATAGTTTGTACAGTGCCTTGTTTTTAATAGAAACACTGCTCTCTAAACTGTTTTGTTTTGACCGTAGTTCAGTCAAGTTGTGAGTTTGTTAACTAATGATCATGTTATTTAAAGAAGCTATTTCTAACCTGAGATGGTCTAATATATCATTCAGTCGGTAACTATTGAAGTTGAGATAAGAAATTTTGGGAGAAACATTTCCCCTTATAACCTACACATACATATAGTATTCTTGCCTAGTTGGCATTTCCTTTGGTGTCCTTATTTCTTAATACTAGTTCCTTTAATTACGAATGCATACAGCCAAGTCTGACAACCTAGCTCATATGTAATTGGATTGTTGACAGTGGAAGAGAGACCCTGAAATATCACGCAGATTATACAGTTCAGTATTTCCCTAGTGGTAATAGAGGAGCAAATTAGGGATGGAATTGAAGTAGGAAAGCAGTCTTCAGTGAGGTCTTTAACATCAGAAACTGAATAGGGGCCTATAGATTTAATTGTCATTAGTGAAAGAAAACTCTTTTAAACTTGCCCGATCCAAAGCATAGGGAGCAGTAAAAGCCTGTTCAGTCTTAGTCTCTGTAAATGGAATTTGGTCCAATCATATTAATGAAATCCCGAATCCTGTCTGTTACAAATGAGGCAGTTTATGTAGAACTCCAAATGGTTCCAGGAAGATGAGCGCCTGGGGGTGCAAGTGAGCATAGCTTGGAGGCACAGAATTGCAGTTGCAGGTAGCACCTCAGCCCCCTCCCCCGCTTTCCCCCAAATCAGCAGTCATTGATTACATATGAAGCTGCAGAGAGATCTTTTCCTGGCAGTTCAGGTAGTTACAGTAGATTGTTAATCTGTGAATGATCGGACTAAATCCCTTCTGTCTTCAGAATTTCCATGCAAATTAGAAGGAAATGTATGAGGTAAATTTATTAACTGTAGTCTAGGAGCTTAGGTCAGCTTTAGCATACTTCTTAAGTATACGTTTTTATCCATAAAAACAGTTACACTTCATTTATGCTAATTTTCTATGGATTCACTTGATAATATAAATTGGTGAGATGATTTTTTTAAAAGTACTTGTAAAGAAATGAAAGATTTTTTAGTGTGTTTTTAAGTTTTCTAAGATACAGTTGGGTTGTTCCAGATATAAAATGTTCCCATAAATGGCTTTTCCTATTCTACATCTGTTCTTAAAATAAATTTAGACTTATTTTCTTGCATCACTGTTAAAATATAGGGAGGGTTGTTTTGTATTTGTCAAAATAGGAATGAAAGTGGAATAAATATATCAAGTGGGGGGAAACAAGGAATTGGGAAGTGATAAATAATACTGGAAGTACACGGTATACTAGGTCTCATTGGGCCAATGGGAGTGTCTTCAACATGTCTCTGAAAGATTAACGAAGTATTTAAGTGGAACTCAGCAGAAGAATGATATTCTAATAACATTTGTATGTTTTGTTTTACTTTCATCAACATTTCACTTGAACATTATCTTGTTTGAATGTATAATTTTTGCATTACTGCCAAATGGATGAACTTACATGGGAATAGCAGCAGTATGTTTTTTTTCCTCTTTTGGATCCTGGTGTTACAAATCCAGCATCTTGTAGGATAAGTCATCCTTTATTCTTACTCTACTCAATGCTTTTCATTTAAAGGTTACACATGAGTGGCATGAAATACTCTCTTAGTTAATGAACCTTGTTTTTCTTACATTTTTATGAGATTTTGATGGTATCAAAAACCTCTCCAGGCCCCTCCCAACATGAAGACTTTAAACCTGGAAGTGGTTGCTCCTTAGTAAAACGGGGAACAAATGTGCCTTCGAACAGATGCTGACGCTCCTTTCCCGCCTTTACTTTCCAGGCCATCCGTTGCACACTGGTAAACTGCACGTGCGAATGTTTCCAGCCGGGGAAGATTAACCTGCGGACTTGTGACCAGTGCAAACATGGCTGGGTGGCACATGGTGAGAAAAAGCTGGGCCTTTCTTTCTGTTCTTGTTATGTTCATGTGAATGTACATGCTTTTTTAGAGCAATCACTGGTCTGAAGATGAGAGGGGTCAGCTGTGCTCCAAGTGTCAGCAAACATTCATCCTGCGGTTCTCAAATAGCATATTTTCAGCTCCAAGATGTAAGGCTTAGGTGAGCAGCTCCCAACAGAAGGCTGAGATGTTTATAAGACAGCGGGGCCCTGGGATTCTGACCTAACCTCACAGCAGCCAGCAAGCATCAGGCCTGATGGAAACTCAAACGTGCCACAGTTGGTCTTTCAGGGCCCAGACCTCAGAGGGAAGCTGGCAAATCCTTTCTGCTTGTGGAGAACATCTTGATGACTGCTCACCCTTGGTATATGCCTTAGGGGCTGAGTGTATCCTCCCAGGTGTTAAATGTTGTATAATCTAAGGTGGTTGACAAAGTGAATGGGAACATTGTTTGGCTGGTATCTGAGAAAGTAATCCGTAAATAACCCCTTTCAGTGTGTGCTGGGATTGGAGGTGGCCAGGATTGGTGGTGTGTGAGCTCTGTGTAGATGTGTGTTGGGGTGGCCAGGATTGGTGGTGTGTGAGCTCTGTGTAGGTGTGTGTTGGGGTGGCCAGCATGGGTGGTGTGTGAGCTCTGTGTGGGTGTGTGTTGGGGTGGCCAGGATTGGTGGTGTGTGAGCTCTGTGTAGGTGTGTGTTGGGGTGGCCAGCACTATAGGTATGTGAGCTCTGTGTGGGTGTGTGTTGGGGTGGCCAGCATGGGTGGTGTGTGAGCTCTGTGTAGGTGTGTGTTGGGGACAAAGGTGATCCAGGCCAAGGCTGGCAGTGTGGAGGCTTTAGCCAGATGCACAGAGCTGTTCCATCAATGTGCCTGCCCTCAGCATTTCACTTGTTCTTATATATGGCTTATGTTTTTTTTATGTTTAGGCAAAGGGAGACTGGTAAATAAGTAGAGATATTTTCTTTACTGCCTAGACCAGGGGTCCTCAAACTTCGGCCCGCGGGCCACATGCAAATACAAATATTGTATTTGTTCCCGTTTTGTTTTTTTACTTCAAAATAAGATATGTGCAGTGTGCATAGGAATTTGTTCATAGTTTTTTTTTTAAACTATAGTCCGGCCCTCCAAGGGTCTGAGGGACAGTGAACTGGCCCCCTGTTTAAAAAGTTTGAGGACCCCTGGCCTAGACTATAGAATTTTTAAAGATAGGTAATGT